TGTCTTTGCCACATAGTACGACTGCGTTCACCTTTCTTTCTTTCCTGTAAAGTACGAATGCATTCACCTTTTTTTTCTTTCCTACAAAGTGCGAATGCGTTCACCTTTCTTTCTTTTTCTGTAAAATACGAATACGTTCACCTTTCTCTTTATAGTACATAGTAAAAATGCGTTCACCTTTTTTATTTTGCCAGGTATTCTATGCGAGTATATATACTGAGAAGATTTGACAATTGATCTACACTGTAAATTGAATACAACTATTTAATATTTCTTTATAAAATTGTTTATTTCTCTTTGTGAAAGTCGAGATGTGTTATCGATTGTCTAACCATTCATTAATACCTGAACGTCAATTAGGTAAAAATGGACCAAAAGTACCAGCTATTGGTTATGGAGCAATGGGTTTATCAATATCATATGGAACTATCGGATCCGATCAAGAACGATTCAAAGTCTTGGATCGTGCTATTGAATTTGGTAGTACTTATTTTGATAGTGCCGATATATATGGTGATAATGAAGATTTATTAGGAAAATACTTCAAGAAATATCCAGAACAACGTAAAAAGGTTAGGAGAAAGATTTTGATTAAGGAGTTTGTTTAAAAAAAAAATCACATATGTAGCGCAATGTAAACTGCTGACAGATGATTCTGATAAAAAAACTTAAATAATATTTTTTATCTGTAGGTGTTTCTTGCAACAAAGTTTGGCGGAGTATTTTTTCCTGACACAAAATCTTACTCAATTCGTGGTGATGCACAATATGTTTATGAAGCATGTGAAAAAAGTCTAAAAAGACTCGGTGTTGATTCAATCGATCTGTATTATGTTCATCGTATTGACAAAACTGTACCAATTGAAGAAACAATGGAGGCTTTAAAGGAACTTGTAAGAGTTGGTAAAATAAAATATATTGGTTTGTCTGAATGTTCAAGTAATACATTACGACGAGCATATGCTATTCATCCAGTTGCTTGTGTACAAATTGAATATTCACCATTTAGTTTGGATATTGAAAGAGATGAAATTGGTCTTTTAAAAACATGCCGAGAATTTGGTGTAGCTATTGTTTGTTATTCACCATTAGGTCGTGGATTATTTAGTGGAAAAATCAAAAGTCCAGATGATTTTGAAGCAGATGATTTTCGAAGAATAATTCCACGTTTTTCCAAGGAAAACTTTCCGAGGAATCTTAAATTGGTCAATGAATTGACAGTAATAGCGAATAAAAAAGGTTGTACACCAAGTCAATTAACATTAGCATGGATTCTTGCTCAAGGTAATGATTTCATTGTAATACCAGGTACAAGCAAAATCAAAAATTTAGAAGAAAATGTTGGAGCTGCTCAGATCAAATTAAGCAAAGAAGAAATAAAAGAAATTCGAGAAGCTTGTGAAAAAGCCGATGTAGCAGGTGAACGTTATCCTGAATTTGCATGCGCCAGTCTATTTAGTGATTCGGCTCCAAAGAAGAATTAAAACATTTATCAAACTATAACGCAAAAGGATTTGAAAATAAAAGTTCAGAGTATCAGATTTTGCAACTGTTTCCTCTATAAGTATTGAAATAGTACGTAAATGTCATCAAGATAATAATAGAATTTTTTGATTGAATTTTTAAATTCAAAAGCATCATGATTATTATTGTCAAAACTAAATGAAAACTAAACTATTTTAGATTATTATGTGAAGATGTATGACAGCTCTTATAAAAGTATCTTAGCTGGTTTCCAATAGGATATAAGAAAGCACCCAATAACTAGCTCATATGAAAGAGCTGTCGTACATCTAATCATGAGTTTTTTACTTTTTGAAAAAAAATACAAATGGAATAAAATGATTTTTCTTGTCTATAAAAGAATTAAAATTCCACTTTTTTTTGACTTTTAAAACAAGTTTATTTTAATATTGAACTAACAAAGTCACGTTAGTCTAAGAAATATGTAGAATAGTTTGCATAAGCGGTGCAATATCGTCGATAGCATCTAATGTTGTCACTTGACTACTAAGAAATTGTCGAAATCTTAGAGCTACTGACTGAGCTCGAAAGGTAGCAGACAGTAATTTGATAAAATGTTTGCATGTTTTTGTTTCACCTTGTTTTTTAATTATATAATTCCACAATAATTTTATATAATAAGATTGAGCTCGATATACAGCTAATGAATCTTTAAATGATGGTTCATTCTCATTCATTGATAAACCTTTAGAAAATAGGAAAACAACGAGAAGAAGAGATAATAATACGTCATCCTTTTCAATAATATCATTGAAAGTAACACTTAAATTTACGACCATTTCATATATATAATCTGATTGATTACATAATATATACATTTGCCGTTTTTCTTCATGCTCTCTATTTGAAGAACAATCATTTATCTGTTCAGCTATATAACATGTCGAGACACAAAAGAGAAGAATAAGATTATATTTAATCATAATAAAACGATCATCAGCATTTAGTTTTTCGAATTTCTCAATTAGACGACAAAATTTAATAATATGAAGAGCAATTTCATTGTTAAATTGTAAACAACAAATTAATTCAGAACTACGATCGAACGGATCATCAAAATTAGTAAACTCTTCACATTCATTGACAATAGATAAAAATGATGATTGAATTTTGTTAATAGCTTCTAAATCTTCAACAGTTAATGATTCTGCCAGTATGTTTTCTTCTATCTGATTTGAATCAATGCTCTGACGAACAATAATATTATCATTATTTTGATTCATATCCATGAATAGCTAGAATAGAACATCAAATTATATTTGAGAAGTTATTGAAAAAATCAAAGAAAAAAAAATCCTCATTCGATATTGAAAGAACTTACACGATCAATTTCATCAAATGTTAGTAAAATAGATTCGGAATTAGGTTTGGAATTTGATGTTGATAATGAATTTGTCAATTCTATTGTTGATGAACGTTTTGATGAAATATTTCGATTTCTTCCTGAATCTTTTCTTCGTTGAATTTGTTCTTGATTTAAAATTAAATCTTTTCTCATTCCCATAGCAAAACATCGTTCTAGTCGACATCTAAAACATTTACGACTTATCAAATAATCAATTACACATTGACCATGATCTGTTAAACATTTGAATCTTTTCTGAAAAAAAAAATTAATTCAAATCACTCAGGTCGATCAATTCGACTATCCGTATTTTGAATGTATACGGTCGTATATGTGCTGTAACCTCACTATTTACGGGCCTTTTAGGAGTAGTCGCAAATGGATCATATCATTCGATCTGGGCAACATAAAAGCAAACAGAAAAAAAGAAGAATTAACTAACCAAATCTTGATGACCATTTCGATGAAAAAAAGCTTTGCATGATGCACATGAAAGAACCGCATAATTATATCCAATAGCACGATCACCACAAATAGTACAAATCAGATCAGTTGATTTCTTTCGTGTTTTAACTGATTTTGATTGATTATGATCAGTAGTATCAATTGTTCGCTTATTAATTTGATCATTTCTAGTTAATTCAGGAAGAAAATTTGACTTAATAGTATTATTATCATTTTTTTCAATAGGTATTATTTGTCTATTATTATTATTATTATTATTATCCATATCAATAATATATGTATTTTTATTTTTGTTAAAAGCAAATTGACGAATAATATCTTCATCAGATGTTATAATTATTATTTTTGCTGGATTAGCCATTCTTGTGTTCAAATAACAATTTTAATTTTCTTCAATGTGTTACTTTTATGTAAATACGTCAATTTCGAATGACAACAACAACTACTTGTAGCAGAAAAGAAAGAAAAATATCAAGGTAAAAAGAAAATATTCTTTTTACTTTAATAGAAAAAACATCAAAGAACAGAACGAAAGAAAAGAATATGTATTCATTATTACTCATATGCCAACACGACAACTCACTCATTAATGTATCATTGCTGCAAATGTAGAGGACACTACTACATACCTGTCATTTGCTCACATACATAGTTCTTAATGTATGCTACTTATTCGATCATATTTTATAATTAGCACAAAAAAATTACATATATTATTATCCTTCATTCTATTTAAATAATTCAAAAAGAAAATATGTTGTTTTAGTATTTATTGAATAAACTTACTCTTCGTTTTCGTCATCTTGAGTACTACTCTTATAAATTTACAAGATTTTTATTGTACAAGATGATCCAAAAGTTACCGGACAGTCTTTGCTTGTGAATTACTTTCGATAGGAACACAATGGAGAGCTCTTGTTTTTATCGTTCAAAAGAGGCTTGTATCACTGCATACTTCTATGTATTATTTAACAATGTTGATAGATTAGAAAATAATCATTTAATGATCTTCACAAAAAACTGATTGTTCTGTGAATGTGACATAGGATAGAGTAGTCTAAAAAGCATTCACCAATCTCTTCAATGACAAAGGTGTGGATGTGGGGTGTCGGTGTGGATGTGGGGTGTCGGTGTGGGTGTGGAGTGTGGGTGGGTGGGTGTGGAGTGTGGGTGGGTGGGTGTGGGTTCCATTGAAGAGAAGATTCAAACCCACACTCACAGCCACAGCCACACCCACCAATACCCACACTCACAGCCACAGTCACAGCCATCCACACCCACACCCGATTTTGAATTTATTATTTTATTGATCCTTCTATATTGATATGCAGACAAGACGAAAGCGATTTTGAATATACATTTACATATTATACTCAGAATCTACATGACAAAAAGCGATTAATAGATACACAACGACTTCATCAGGTCTTAATGTGTATTAAAGCTTACAATCGGCGTTTAGCTCATTCTAGATTGAGATGTGGCCCATTCTACGAACCACTTTTCAGTTTACCGGTATTATTCGAGCCTTACGGAAAACTGAGCCAATCAGTCGTTTTAATTGTTTACGATAATAACCGCTAGATAATGTGTAAATATAAAATGAATATGTTTTATCAAGCACATACATTAATATAGACATATTGATTACAAGATTTTCTATTGAACGACGAACATTGTTCTTAACAGTTGTTATAGTTAGAAGCTGATATATTTTTACAGCCGTGTAAGGCAATTGACATAACCAAAAGATAACCACTTGTATAAATACCACGCGCAAAATAGCTCGCTCATTTGCCATTTTAGCTCTTCTTGTTGCTAGAGAAATGCTTGACACAACAGAACTAACTTCGACACGATGTAATCGAGACGATTTTCTAATGTTGAAAAATGTACCCATGCCAAAGTACATTATTAACAGGAATGGTGGGATTAATTGAACAATAAAAGTAAGAGCTATATCCAGATTACCACAAATGTCATTTTTGTTTGCACATGGTGCTATAGTCATTGTATTACCTGACTCATAACAATAGAAAATTTCAGCATAAGTAATCAACATGACAATCGTAGTTATAGCCATTATTCGTCGTGTGGTACGCATATTACTAATGTGTCGTGTTGTGACAACACTTGATGATGATATGTAACGATCAAAACAAGCACCAATCATAAACCATGTAGTACATCCATTCGAAGTACCCGCGATATAAACAATCGTTTTACAAAGAATTCGATTGGAAGCCAGCAGCATTATGTTGAAGCCCAATAACATGCGTGTTAAAGTAGCTGTATAAATAACAATTACACTTGCTATAGATGATCCTAGTAAGTAAGGTATACATGCAGATTGACGCCAGACATAATCACGAGTGAAGAGTACAATGTTGAAAAGGTTACCTATCGTACCCATAACGATGTTAGTTATACCGATCGATGCGAGAAGATGATACTTGATGAGATCAATGAATAGAGAATCGCTGCTTGCTGTTGAATTGCTCATATTTTTCACTTTTTTCCTCTGAAAATAATCGTTTTTTCGATTCAAATGAAATAGTTCCTCAAAAAAATCTAATCAAAATATAGCTTTCTAGTCTTGTCTATCCGATATAGGAAATATTCTCTCGGTACTCAAATGATATCCTTTTCTAAACCTGTAACATTTTACTGTTAATTTCTAAGAGTTGTATGGGAAGTAAACTAATTATTTTGAAAGAAATTATTGGATAGTTCAAGTTTTATAGTCATATATATTGATAATTTTTACATTTAAACATTATCTAACATCATCTTTGACTGAAATAATATGCTCATTTAATCATTACATAGTTTCCTAGGTACATTTAATTACAGTGGGAATACAGTGAGTACCAAAATTGACTAACATACAATATATAGACTTCATCTATCTATTTCTTGACAATGATCCAAAGTTGTGCTATTAGGATACATGATAGTCTATGTGTGGTCTATGATATGTGATCAAACTAGAGGAAATCTAACTGTTTTATTTTTTAAGATGTTAATAAAACGAGATTACCATACTTTTTTGATCAGTTTTATTAGGCTGTGAAGGATTAGAAATGTCAATCGTTATATCTCAAATATCTATGTGATATTTACATTGTCAAATGATTTGGGAAGAAATATCTTTAAACTTGAAGCTGGTATTTTATTGTGTTAATTTTTCTTTTACATCTTTTCAAGACACAGAATTCAACTAAAATTTATGAATATTGTGAGTGGAAGTCAATATAACTAGTGATACAGTGCAGCTCAAAAGTCTGGTACCACTTTTTTTTTTTCAGTCGTATATCATAACCACCCAATATAATTTAACACATTCAACGCGATGTGACTCACCAGTGATTCACAGAAAAAAAAAAAATCTTCACTCTATTTTAATGAACTGAGCTATTTTGTTTCGTCGATGATAGAGAAATGTTCAAAGTTTTTGTTCATAAGAGAAACATGAATAAATACTGCATTAAGATATTATAATTGGCTTTAAGAAGGAAAAGTAAACTTCTACGATTTTCGAAAAAATACAATCACATTTGTATTCTAAAAGTTACTTTGGAGAAGTAAACCATAATTAATTTAGCAAGTTCTAACAAATTAGGCTAATTTTTATCTCAAATTATAAAGAGATATTTCTAGTATAATATGTTTTAAATAAAATAAAGCCTATTACATTTCAAATTTATCAACGCATGTACATAACTTCCTTCGAAATCTACAGAAGGTCACTTTTCCTTCTTGAAGTCAATTATAATATCTTAATGCAGTATTTATTCATGTTTCTCTTATGAACAAAAACTTTGAATATTCCTCTATCATCGACGAAACAAAATAGTTCAGTTGATTAAAATAGAGTGGAGATATTCAAATTTTTTTCTGTGATCCAACGGCGGGTCACATCGGGCTGAATGCGTTAAATTTCTTTTTTATTCCTGGATAGTAGAGGTCAAGTACTATGTATATATACCTGTTTAATATGAAAAACCGTTGAATATAAAATACAATAAAAACAAACAAACTTCAATGTTAAGAAAAGAATGACATAAAAAAAGATAAAATGATATTGTTGTTTTAAATTTCAGTAGTTGGATTGAGGTGCGAATAATTTAAAACTCAAGTAACATTCTTTCTTTGATATTTTTACATCGCTCGATCGAGTTCGTCAGGTTCTACAAAACTGTCTATACTAAAAATTTTTTGAACTCTTTTTGTGTACTCAAAAAGTGAATGCACTCTAGAATCGGTCAGTGTGTCCGTCCGTCCGGCTGTTTACACGATAACTTTTGAAAGGAGAGTCCGATCGCGATGAAATTTTCTACATAGTTCAGTCTCAATAATATCTCGGTCAAGTTCGAAGATGAGAAGAATTGACCGAGCCGTTCCTGAGTTATTGCAAAAATACTCATTTTTCCATATGGCTTCCTATAGGAAAATCGACCTATCCCCATTTTCGTAAAACACTTTCCCTATCATAGTCAAAGAAAACCCCAACTATTATACACCATTCGATAGAGAATTTCATGAGCTACAAAATGGTATATAAAACATAAAGAAACAACAAGGCTAGCTCACCTATTGCAAAGATAAATAAACGGAAATCGGTTCTGTTTTGGTCTGCGCTCTAATCGATCCACAAGTAGAGCTCTATCTTCCGATCACAGAGATAATACTTCAAGGTTTTCTAGGATGGAGAACTCGAATCTGTAATCCACTTGGTGTGAAGCCCCATTGGTTGAGCAGTGACCAATAGATATGAAATTATAGGGAAAACGAGTTTTTTAGGATAACTCAAGTCGAAGAGTCCAAATCTGAGCTGTATTCACTCGGAAATCCTATTGGTTGAGCAGTAGCCAATAGAATTCAAGTGTTTATAGAAAGGGTTTTCCAGGCTAATTTTTATATCCACACATTGTAGGATGACTGATTTGTCTCATTCACTTTTTGAAGTACACATAACTCTCGGATTTACATCCGAGGTTTCCACATTTATTTTATATAGAACAAAATTGTCAATTTGTCGTGTGGAAAACAAAAAATGCGAGTTTTTGTAAATTTTATCTCTAAAAAAAAGAGTTTAAAAAACTTTTAGTATAGACTGTTTTGTAGAACTTGACGAACTCTATCGAACGATGTAAAAATATTAAAGAAATAATGTTACTCGAGTTTTAAATTATTCGCACCTCAATCCAACTACTGAAATTTAAAACAACAATATCATTTTATCTTTTTTTATGTCATTTTTTTGCTTAACATTGAAGTTTGTTTGTTTTTATTGTATTTTATATTCAACGGTTTTTCATATTAAACAGGTATATATATATGCATAGTACTTGATCTCTA